TGTAATTTTTCCTTCCCCTATGGCTTTCTGAATGCGCGGTCTTTCACCTTCCGCATCAAACGAAACCCTACCATACGGTAGGTTAGGTTAGGTTAGGTACCTAGTTATCAGTTTACTTAGTGTCCTATGTTTCTGGAGCCCATTCGATGCCCTACTCCATAATTATATGTTTTTTTACGATATCAATTTTTTTTATCAATTACAAAAAAATTAAAAGACGATTTTTATGTTTTTATTTTATACTTCAGTAAATCGATAATCCATATTATAAGCGTAAATAATTCTGCTTCTTATAGTGTTGCACGTTAATGCTAGTTAATTTGTATTCATTTTCATTCGTAACATTGCATATCTTAACTACACGTCAAACCACAGGCTTTTTAGATTTCGTAGATTATGAAGAAAAGTTTAGGTCTTCTGGAGGAACAATAGCCATATCAACTATATTTCAACTTTTTTACGCATTGTTATGCAACACGTAATAACATTAGTAGAACTAGAGCTTTTAAATGGGTCTGAACGAAACAAGTGGTACACGGCTAATTGCTTTTTAATATTATTCCGTTGTACGCGCAACTCTTTGCTACCTAATTGGTCTTTTGTAAGAGACGAAGTTTGTCTCGTTGCAAAATCCAAAGCAATTTTGCTGTAAGAGAACTGCGTAAATGTTTTATCTGGCTGAAAATTTACACTTTGATGCAGATTGCTGAAATTTACAGAGACAAATGGAAGTAAAAACTAAAGACAACAACAGATATCCCATTAAAATTATACCGTAGGCAGGTTCGTAGCTAACCGTAGCACTTAGGGATCATGTTTTGGGTTATCAAGGAGGACATTGAAATAAACTCCATAGACTATTACTTCTGTTTTCATAAGATATAATCATAAATTAAGTAGAACCTTTGGGTAAAAAATTCTGACCAAACTTTTTCTGTTTTTCTTTCCATGAAAACGCTATATGCTTAAAGTACCTTTTTGGTTTTTTATAAAATGACGAGGATGTGTATTATGTACATTTTTGGTACCTATCTATTATGGTGTTAAAATAATAGGATCCGAAAAATTGTTTCTATAGTTTCTGTACAAAATAGTTGCGGTTATGTTTTGCCACTGTTATCGCGTGATTCGACAACCGGCTAGGAGGTACTATCGTGCATCTGTGTATAGCGTAGATATTTTGTGACGACGGACGGCGGTGGGCGGCGGGCGAAGCGACGAGCGCTCAGCCCGTTCTATTTCTAAATCGAGACAGTCATTCGCAGTGGCTTTCCGCGCATCATCTCGTTGCATATATAAATAGAAAAAATAATCAATACCAGATAAAAGATAACAAATAGATTGTTATAGTGTTGCTAAATCATTAAAAAAATATTGAAAGCTAATTTTTCGCAAAAATTTTACGAAAACGGTAAAGCAATAATAAAGTAACAGACATATAGTTATATAGTTAAAGATGATGTGGTATCAAGGGGAAGAAGATGAAGACGATGATCTTATGTGCTCGCCGGCTATATTGGCGCGGCGGGCCTCCGAGAGCTGGATCAATGTACCTCCCGTCGAGGTAATTTATACGTCGAGGTAACACGTCTATAGTCTATACTACATAATATGTACATTACCGGCGCGATTATTACATTAAAACAAATTACCCAATCGTTGCTCTAATATTTTTTTTTAATTTCGTGGGGTGTACCTAGTAAAGGGAAAAAAATATCCGAACCGTAAACAAAACTATAAAGATATTCGGATATATCCGAAGGCCTAGCCTACAACTCATATAGCGTCTGTCTAATGTTGAAAGCAATAAAACATATAATACTGATCTTCTAATGTCTTCCTCTTTGCTTACAAAATGAATACAGCTTATCTTTAGTAATGTGTACCCGATGCCAAGAATTCGTAATATTTTCAAGTGCTTCTGGATATCGATAGCTCTGTGTGTATGATACTAACTTCGATTATATTAAACTTAAGCCTCGACCTATACCTGATAAAGATTTTCAAAATAACACTAAGTAGTAAAGACTCTAATTTTATCGTAGTAGGATTAAACTAACAACTAAGTTTTAAATAACTACATAGTGCGAAGATACAAGTTTTAGATGTGCAATTTGCGGGTTGATTCCTTGTTCGAAAATTTAAATATCTTCGTTCGCCTGAGCAGTATTTAAACGTACGTATTGTGTGGCAGATGTTGAGCACGCCACAGACCCTGCAGCGCAAGAAGTCGTTACCCGACGTTGGGGCGCTGCCGCGGGCTGACGGCGGGATGTCGCGGGAGGAGGTATCCGCGCTCGGCTCGGCGCGCCGTGAGGAGGTGCGCCGAATGCACGAGGAGACAGAGAAACTCAGAGCTAACCCTCTATTGTATTTAGTCAGTCCGCAAGTCAAGGTAACGTTATCTGTGTTATTTGGGTATCAGCTTTGCATAAAATTTATCAAAATGTATCGCAGTGCAGGTCACTATTGAGGGTCATCTAGTTTTGGACATCGTGACGTTATGTATTTTGTCGTGCATTTGAGCTCGGAGACTAGTTCAATCTCTTTCAGAAGCAACTCTGACTATACCTACAAAGTTTAACTAATTTAACAATGTCGAGTTGTAGTTCTTTATGTAAAAAAATCCTCATCATAGATCACGATACATTTGCATGACATTCATGTCATATCATTTGTAATTTCTACATTTTTTTATTGAAGCAACTTCTTAAAAATGTAAATATATATACTGTGCAATAGTACTTAACTTCTTGCAAAAGATGCAACTACTTCAACGAGATTTTCCTCTTGATTTAAATTATGTGAAAAGTGATTCTGTGAGTAGTATTTTTTAAATAGCATTAATGAATATTGTTTATTTCCAGGACTGGTTCTCGCGACAGCAGCTGGTTATCTTAGTACTGTTTATAAACATCTCGCTGGGCATTATGTTCTTCAAGTTGCTGACGTAGCGGCGGCGAGAGGCGCAACCGCGCCCCCATCTCGCATCACAACGCCTCTTTTGTACATATTTCCCTTGAATAAAACATCAAACATTGAAAAAACCAATGCAACATAAATATTAAAGTGAAAAGTTGAAACTCTGTTACCACATTACCTGTAAAATATATCATATATCGTACCACATTCGTACAAACGAACAAAACCATGTATTTACTTATAAGTAAGGACTTTGGTTTGCTAGAATACGATTAATGCTGTGTATATGTGCGATACGAGACATAAAGTGCAGAAAGGCCCCTTTAGGAACCAATACATACAAACTTCTTTATGATGTGAGAGTGAATATCTTTGAGTCCACTAAAAAATCGGTTGTTCGGATCACGAAATGAAAATAAACCTGCATATTGTAGGTTTTGGACTTGTTATTATTTTGAACGATTTAGGCAAAATGTTTATAATTTATGTTACAATGTTAAATATATCGTGTAGTTACCAAATGCTGTTTCCCTTTTATGGTTTTTGTTAAATTTTATTCGAAATTTTATATATCTTAAGAAAACATTCTTTCTCTAAAATTTAAATTTACAAAATAATGTTTTAATGTATTTATAAAAGAATGCTTTTATTAAAGTTGTAGTAGTCTTTCTCTTTTTAATGATTACCACGACCAATACGAAACAATATATGTAGTTTAGAATAATGTGGAGTCCAAAATAAAAGTGAAAATGAAAATGTCACAAACTGTAAAACGGTGACGTATTGTATGTAATAATAAAACCTTTTTATATATAATATTATCTACCGTCGAACGTTTTAAAGAGCGAAAACATATTTTCCTACGCTGTACAGTAAAAATTGAAAATTTTTAGATCAGTATCATTCTAAATTAAAACATTGGTGCACAACATTTTTACAAATTGTAGGTTTATAATACATTGAAGTCAATTTTCACGTACCCCAATATTTGATACATGTTATGTATGTATGAAAATATTTCATTATTTTAATTATACCTTAATGTTTATTACTATTGTTGTGGACGGTGTGCGAATGAGACTGTTGGATATTTGTACAACGAAAGTTGTGGATACGCGCAATTTTTAAATGTTAAATTAATGTTCGTAAGACAATTTTCGCAGTTTCATTATTGTGTAAAAAACATAAGTTATGTCTATAAGAGTTTTATTTACTTGTATCAATTTTATCTACGTTTCACAAATAAAATACTTTAACAAAACCTAGAGCGTATTTAATTTTTGACCGATTTCCTAAGAGAAGGAGGTACTCAATTGGTCTGTATATTTTTTATGTATGTTGCCGCATATCTCCGCCTCTGGTGGACCGATTTTTTTTAAACCTTTATGTAGAGGAAAAGGCAAATATTACTCTTAGAAGAGTTTTTTACTATTCATGTATTTAAAAATTAACGAAAAATGGTCCACTTCGATGTTAAAAAAACTTACAACTTTCGGTAATTATTTTAGTCCCAAAAAAACCATAAAAGTAAAAGGGTGTGAATATATACATATTTGAGAACAAACTCTATTAAATCCGAATACACAAAAAATTAAAACCGCCCCGAAACTTCGTTTTAATCTTGCTTCCTCATGAACGTTTCATCAATTAGATTAAGGATGTATGGCTTCTTTCAATAGAAAGGTATTCCAGTGGCCGTAGTATTGAATGGACATCAGTTTGACCTAGTTTATGTTGAATATTGCGATATTATGCCGAAAAACATTAAAGGCAATAATTACGGTAGTCAGGAAAATATGCCGGTATTTAAATTGTTTTTTTTTTTATAGATTTTTTGCTATCAAAATATTGTGCGTGTTGAAATTGTGTTTGTAAAAAATGGAAGTTCACTTTTGTTTAATTTTTTTGTTCGAGTATATGCTTCTAATGTTTTTTCGTTTATCAAGGAAAAAGATGATAACGACGATCCGATAGATCTGGATGATTTATTGCCAAAGATCGGTGAATTCGGTATCTACCAGAAGCTATTGTTGTGGCTGGTGTGTTTGCCCGCTTGCTTGCCGTGCGGCTTTTGCGCTTTCAATCAACTGTTCATGACGGATGTACCAGACCACTGGTGCAGAGTACCGGAACTACAAAATTTCAATCTAACTGAAGAACAACGGAAAATAATGTCTATACCACGTAAGGTAAAACTATAGATCACTTTATTTATTTATTTTTTTTACTTTTAATAATTAGGTAAATTACAACAATCAATATTGCTCTGTATATTTGTACGATTTTAAGTTAAAGATATTTTCTAGTTTTCACAATCTATTTTTATATATTCTTAAGTCAATTTAGTGTAAACGACAATAGCAAGAAAAAAACAATAAAATTGGCACTAAACTTATGTATTTTCAGTTAAGCAATAAGTTCTAAGGATTTTCCATCTTTTCCATTTAATTGGATTTATTGAAATTATTTTAATACAGAATCATAAGTTACTCAAATTATTAATTAGTCAGGAAAAGCATCCTGAAGCAACCTGTACATCTCAAATCGAGAATCTCGTTATGTTGCAAAAGACGAAATCTACAGGAAATAACATGTCCTTGTGCCTTCACCTTGTTGCATTTGCAACCTTGTGTATTGACATAGTTTCTTACACACTGCAATTATCTTTCAAGATAATGCATTTTTAAAACTAAAATTGTAAAATGTTACTTTGTTTCCATTGATATTAACTTCGAAAAAGTGCATTTAACAGAAATTGTGGAAACTTGTCTTCATCTTCCATAATTATAAACTTTAAATTTACTAATGTAACGTTTTAGAACTTTACTTAAATTTAATTCCTCGAATAAAAAAAAAACAATTATGGACTACACCAGTACTTATTTTTACCCAATAACTTCTAATGAAACCGATGCCTAAATTTCATACGCGGCCTCCGTTCCTAACTCAGTATTTTCTAAAATAACGTAAGACAACCAACCATGAGATTCTATTGAGCGAATAATAAAGATCTGATTGTTATATTTATTTTTAGGCAGACGATAACACCACTTTTGAGAAATGTTCACGGTATTCTGTTAATTGGACCGAAATATTATCTGCAAATAAAACAATTGAAATTAACACAAGTTGGCCTATGGAGCCATGTTTTGATGGATACGTGTACGATAAATCAGAAGTAAAATCCTCCATAGTAATTGACGTAAGTTTCAGTTTATTAAACATTTGTTTGTATGTCGACTTCATATTTATGTTTCATTTTATTTTTATTTTTCAGTTCGATTTAGTTTGCGACTTCGACGTTTACCCAACTTTGGGGTTGGTGGCCCTAAATGTTGGAGGGCCTATTGGAGTATACAGTTTTGGAATATTGAACGATCGCATTGGCCGCAAGAAATCCTTTTTTACCTGTCTAACTACCCTCCTCATTGGCAGTTTAATGACAGCATATGCACATGAGTATTGGTTTTGGGTACTTGCGAGAACAGTCGTGGGACTGACTATACCAGCCGTATACCAAATACCATTTATAATTTGTAAGCTATGTCATTTTATCAACAAAAATTGAAAAAAAAGTCTAGGGAGTAGTAGCAAAGTAAAAATGAAAACTTATATATTTTTTTAATTATTTTAGCTTTGGAATTGGCTGGACCGAATTATAGATCGTTTGTGACGGTCATGACATGCATATTTTATACTTTGGGATTAGTTTTATTATCTGGTGTAACGTACATGTTACGAGATTGGAGATCCCTCGCGTTAGCAACGTCCGTGCCCTTTTTCTTATACTACTTGTACTGGTTTGTGTTGCCGGAATCACCGAGATGGCTGCTGATGAGAAAACGATTTGAAGAAGCAAATAAAATTTTGAAATCCATTGCCAGAGTAAATGGTAAAGAGTTGCCTGTTGAGTATACAAATAAAATCCAACGGCAGGTATTGGAGCAAGCTATGAGCGGGGAGAAAGAAGCCGAGACGGCCAGCATGTTTGCTTTATGTCGAACTCCTAATATGAGACTCAAAACATGCTTGATCACTCTTAATTGGTGCGCCTCAGAAATGGTTTACGTCGGTTTAAGTTACTACGGACCAGCAATAGGTAGCAATCAATATGTGAGTTTCTTTCTGTCATCGGCGGTTGAAATACCGAGCTACCTTGTTTGTTGGGTGCTTATGGATCGAGTTGGACGACGATGGCCATTATGTTTGTCGATGGTTATAAGTGGTATCTTCTGTATTGTCACGGTGCTGCTCCCAAATGGTAAATCAAAATTTATCTAACTCTCTATTTGTGTAACGTGGCTCACAACAGGTTTTGAACAAAGCATAAAGTTATCAATCCATATAAATTATATTTACAGATGCAGAAACGGAGACTCTCATCCTGTATCTCATATCGAAATGTTTCATTTCCGCATCATTTTTGATAATATATCCATATGCCGGTGAACTTTACCCAACTGAACTGAGAGGCATTGGGATCGGGACGTCCGCATACATTGGGGGCCTAGGCTTAATCATTATACCTTTTATTAATTATTTAGTAAGTATTTTTTTCATCTAAGTAAGTGTATAAAGTACTTTTTGTTGTATATACAGACTTAAGTAATTAAACTTCGCATTACTCATCATTAGCATAATGAATTCGTTTTCCCAGGGATCCAGTAACCTAGTATTGCCTTTAGTAGTAATGGGAGCAGTGTCGGTGGTAGGGGGGTTAACGGCGCTACGGTTACCAGAAACACTGCATACATCATTACCTCAGACAGCAGAAGAGGGTGAGGAATTTGGAAAAGACTGGACTTATGCGGACTGCTTTAAATGTGGTGGCCAAAGGTTAAGACTATTTATTAATATTTTTCGATAAGGGCGTAACTTACTATTGGCTTACGGACTTGCTTATGATTAGATATTTACACATGTTCTCTTATACCTGCTATGATACACAAATATAAGAAATAAGCCATCCATTATCATACTTGCCTAATGACATGATAGAAAACAAGTAATATAAATAATATGAATATCTTTTTTAAACAGACCGGTGGCGGAGGCAGAATCTTATGAAAATCTAGACCAATTAGAACTTACACAACCTCCGACTGAGATGGATGATGAGCTATCGGAAATGCCTAATTTTCGTAGAAGTTCCATGCGTAAACTCGTCCGACAAGCAAGCATTGTTGAAACGCAACGAGACTTGGATGGAAATATGAAAATGACTTACTGGTTTTAGATGCGTAAAAATTTACAAGACCACTTTATACAATGTGTTTAGAATTGCTAAGCTAAGAAATGATACCAATGTTTAAATTTCAGTAATATCATTTGGAGCCACGAGCACCTTGCCCCTCCAATTTTTACTCTTTGCCTATCACGACGTAACTTTTCTGTCAATGTCAAACTGTCATATATTGGCCAAGTATACAAAAGTATTCTTTCCTTTATTTCCTTCATATAGTCTTAAATATTGATAAGTTTATCAATTAAAAGGATATTAGATTACTAAACATCATGTGGTACTTAAGAAAAATGTATTTTTTATGTTTCCTTTTAGTATGGACAGTTGTTATAGTAACAGGTCATTCGCATTCGCACTCACATTCGAGTGGGAACGAACCTCCGGCGTACAAATACTCGGCAAGTGCTAACCAAAAAAATGTGAATCAAGATAAAGCTCCGGAAATCGACTATGATTTATATGTAAGAGCATTAGGTTCAACTATTTTTATAAGTATAGTTCCATTTTTTATTTTATTCTTTATTCCAATTGACGGAAGTGTTGAGAAACAGCCACTGCTAAAGATACTGCTGTCCTTTGCCTCTGGTGGACTTCTTGGCGATGCGTTTCTGCATTTGATTCCACATGCTCTTACATCACATGATGATGGACATTCTCATGGACATGGCCATAGTCACGGTCACCATGAAGAGGGCCAACATGAACCTCATGACATGACAGTTGGTCTTGGAGTACTCGGTGGTATAATAACATTCCTTGTTGTTGAAAAAACAGTGCGTTTGTTCAGTGGAGGCCATGGACATTCACATAGCACAGACAAGAAAAAAGATGACAACAAATCAAAGAAGTCAAATAAATCTAAGAAGGAAGAAATCAAAGTTGCAGGATACCTTAACCTAGCTGCTGATTTTACCCACAATTTTACAGATGGATTGGCAATTGGAGCTTCCTTTATAGCTGGACAAAGCATAGGATACATTACAACCATAACTATATTGTTACATGAAATTCCACATGAGATTGGGGACTTTGCGATTCTTGTACAATCTGGTTGCTCTCGAAGAAAAGCTATGTTGTTACAATTGTTAACAGCCTTTGGAGCTATATCTGGTACAGTGATATCTATCTATCTTCAGGGCTCCAGTGATGGTCTGGTTTCATCACTTATTTTACCATTCACTGCTGGAGGATTTATTTATATTGCAACAGTATCGGTTATACCAGAATTGTTGGAAGGTTCAAATAACAAGTTTTCACAATCAGTAAAAGAGATAATGGCTCTCCTTGCAGGTGTATACATGATGGTTTTAATAGCCCAGTATGAATAGCTGAATGTGTAAATACAATTATTTTTTTTGTGTAAATCAAACAAATGCTTACATAAATCATCACAAAATTTCGATTTTTTTTTATTCTTATGAATTAAGAAAATATTTTTTTGAATTAAAAAATTTTAGAACAAGTAAATGTTTGTTTTAATTTGAAATACTAGTCGTTTTTTATTCTTCCTTCCATTATTTCCAATTGAGCTTCAAGATGTATCGTTTTTTATTCTCCCATTATATCTAACGAACTGTTGCCTGCGACTTCGTCCGCGTGGTAAGAAAACATACGAACTATATAAATGACAAAAAGCTACGTATCCCTCGGGAACCGGACATTTCTCGAGCATGAAGCTTATCTCATGTGTACTCCAGACTTTGTTTTATATCTGTGCCAAATTTAAATAAGATATGTTGTACCGTTGCAGAATGATCGAGTAAACATTAAAAACTAAATTAATGAATCCCACGGGAACCATAACTATTCCCGGGTTTAAAAAATAGCCTATGTGTTCTTCCAGACTATGCTCTAAACCTGTGCCAAATTTCATGGAGATCCGTTCAGCCGTTTAGGCTACAAACGCTAACAAACATCCATCCATCTAAACTATCGCATATATAATATTAGTAAGATTGAGCTTCAAGATACGTACAGCAGTTTTTAGCTATCACAAATGAGAGAGTTTTGTTGCTATCTTACAAGTAATAAAAATATTAAATTCTTATTCACCATTGTACCACTAAAACTTCAAGAAAAGACTTCTTTATAAGAATGAAGTCAGATTCAACCAAAAGAAATTCATTTGTCAGTGTGATGGTGCATCTTCCCTTCTATTTTCATATAATTATCATCAGATATTTATAATCTAAGCTGTTTTTCATTAGCCCTTTTTTAAAATAAACTTCTAGATATTACTGGTTATCACACCAAGTAGACATTATCAATACTGCACCAGTGTAGCGAAATGTAAGATGGTGTCTACACTCATCCCCTCACTTAAAAACATCTTTAGTCATATATCCTACTAACATGGTAATCTTAGACAAATATAAACATAAAACAAAATTAGTAACTGTTAGCTTTAGCTTAAATAAAGGAAAATAAAACAAAATGTAGAGAATGCAGATGTTTATTACTTATTTACTTCTTCTTAGATACACCAACAGTACGTCCTCGTCTGCCAGTTGTTTTGGTGTGTTGACCACGCACACGGAGACCCCAGTAATGACGCATACCCCTGTGGGCACGGATTTTCTTAAGCCTTTCTAAGTCATCACGGAGTTTGGAGTCCAAGTTAGAAGAAGTCAACTGACTGTATTTTCCATCAACAATATCCTTCTGTCTGTTCAAGAACCAGTCTGGAATCTTGTATTGTCTAGGATTTGACATAATAGTGACAATCTTTTCGACCTGAAATAAGTAATAGGTAAATAAATATCAAACTATATTATGTATGAAAATTGGATGTAAAGTCGTTAAGTTTATTTTTATGTTAGTCATTTAATAAAGAAATTGTCACACATTTAAATAGAATACTAGTAATCGTTTTATGCAACAACAATATATATACCTCTTCTTCTGTACATTCACCAGCGCGTTTATCCAAATCGATGTCGGCTTTCTTTAGCACAATATTGGAGTATCTGCGACCGACACCTTTAATAGCGGTCATGGCAAACATAACCTTACGTTTGCCATCAATATTCGTATTCATAATACGAAGAATATGTTGAAACTTGTCCGGTATCACGAGCGACTAAAACACAGTAATTGAACATTTAGTATAAAAATAACACAATTGTTGGCATCAATAAAGTATAGTAGTATTGTTTAACAATTTTAACATCTAAATTATATGAAGATTAATATAAAAACATAAGATTTAATACCATTGCGACTAAATTCTACAGCCTAACGTCGGAAAAAGAACACAAGTCAATCTGTCAAAATAGAAGGAACAACAAACTAGACGTGAGCGTTATTTCACGTCACTAGTTACAATCACCTGTGACGAGATATGTAACGGCGTCACTAGTTTCGAGTCAAATTGAA